TAAGGAAAAAAAAAGGCTCTACACAAATACTGCTTGCAAAACATTTTGTTTCCGAGGGCAGGTACACTGTCCTTATATTGTTTCAGTTTGACAGGGAGAAGAATATGCCTTGTCATCATTCTGCTGAATGCAACTACGATCAAAAATTACTTCTCAGGCAGTTAATAACAACTTTGAGGGGATCAGCAGAATCGTGTAAAACACCGCTTAGATTTGGCAAGTGTAAACGGTTTTGAAGCAACAGGTGAATCATACATTTGGATTTGCCTCCGTGGGCAGCCAGAGCAGAGAAAATTACTGTAAGACAAATTTTTTGACAAAAACTCAAGATAAACAACTCGGCTCCCTTTTGTCAAGAGTAACAGAGTGGGTGTATAAATAAAATGCAGTCGGCAGGATGTCTCTGGAGTTTAACAAGGCCTCTAGCACTCCACCACACAGAAAACTCATTAATACACTGGAGAATCATGGCACAGATCAATTCAGATGAAGAACAGAGATTGTAAGTGAAGAGATAAGTGTCATGCTAAATCTGGCTGGGTAGAATATCAAGAAGGGACTTGTTAGATCCCACATTAATCAACTACCAGCAGTCCAGGGCAGAGCTGGTCCTGCTCCTCCCCTACCTGGGAAATTGTATTATCAGACCGCAGTGGCAGCGGCAGTCTGCTAGTTCAAAATGTATAGAGGACATTTATTAAAACCTGGCAGGTTCACCATCCCACCTGACACGAATTAAACACATGAAGCCTTAAATCCACCTCATTTTTAACCTTTCCTCATTTAACGTGCTCCGTGCAAGTCCTCCTCCTCCGAAAGATTCTCTTGTACTGTTCCGTATTTTCACCACTCCTCAATCTTCTCTCCTTAAAAACATTCTCTACAGAACCTCTATAGGGTAAAATGCCATTTAAAAGATTCTTCCATCAACATGTATTGTACGACGACTGTATTTATTAAGAAGGGCAATAAAAATGCCAACTCCATCATCCAGGTTTCTTGTGAAGGACAGAAGTAGTTGTCACAGCCAGCCAAAGTCACAGACAGACAGACACATAATGAATAACATTTTGTCAAACGTATTATTCTCAAATATGTGGACATTTCCAGTCACCAACATCCATTATTTGTTTCTCTTTGTTAGATCCCTCTGGACTCTCCCTTCAATCTGCCAGATGTGACTGAAATATCTCATGGACCTGTTTTATCAAGTAGCACTGGCTGAGAAGCATCCTGGATATGAACATCCACAGAGGAGTGTGGTGGATGACTCCACACCAGCTTGCACAGTTTTCATGCCTGGTGCCTCTTCACAAGGGAGGCCAGCTCACAACAGTACCAAAATTCAGAGTTGGTCACTATTCCTCCCCCATAAGGGAGCCTGGCAGCCACTTGAAGGACACACATGAACGGATAAGCTTGCACAGTTGTCATGCCTGGTGCCTCTTCACAAGGGAGACCAGCTCACAACAGTACCAAAATTCAGGGTTGGTCACTATTCCTCCCCCATAAGGAAGGGAGCCCAGCAGCCACTTGAAGGACACACATGAACGGATGGCTGCCCTGTGTTTTCCTAGAAGCATAGAATTGTCTAGGTCTGAAAGGGACCTTTCAGATCATGGAGTCCAACCATCAACCTAACATTGACAAAGCCCATCACTAAATCATATTGCTAAGCACAATGTCTACCCATCTTTTAAATACCTCCATGGATGGTCACTCAACCACTTCCCTGGGCAGCCAGTGCCAATGCTTGCTAACCCTTTCCGTGTAAAAATTTTTACTAATATCTGACCTAAACCTCCCCTTGCAACTTGAGGCTGTTTCCTCTTGTCCTGGAACCTCCCCTTGCAACTTGAGGATGTTTCCTCTTGTCCTATCACCTGTGACTTGGGAGAAGAGACTGACTATGTTGGCTTTCTTGGCCACCTGGGCCTGTCATGGGTTGGCCATCTTGGCCACCTGCCCACCATGGCTTGGAAATCCATACTACAAATCTGTGCTACTTTTGCCTGCAACACAGACATACTTTCTCGTACATATACTGTATGAGGAAATAAATATGGATGGATATTTAATGACTTTGATAGAGGAAAAAAATAAAGAGTATAGTCCTCCAAAAATATGGCATGTTGCAACAGGAGCACCAGGGTATGAGGCAGAAAAACGTGAATACTGTCATTGAAAAAAATAAACAAATTCATTTTGTCTATAGGATTACAGCGCACTTCTGCTCTTGAATAAACACAGGAATCCAACCGAAGTCAGTGGGGTCCGCAGGCACAGAATGATGCCGTAAATGTTCAAGCACTGTTTTTAAAGGCATTTTTGTCTCTTAATGTCTTTTGTTACAAGTGAAATAATTTTGCTTATATTTCTATTTAATGGAAATATGTTTAGAAGGCTTCTAAGTTGTGACCACAGACGTTCTGAGGCACTAATTTAGATTTGTTTCTTTTGTTATCCTCTAATTAACTTGCTCTCTTCATAGGTATAGCTTTTCCAAACTCTCTTCTTCCAAATTCTTCTTTTAAGTACTTCCTATTAACAGCATTCTTCAAAAAAATAAAGGCAAATTAAAGAAATGAGAGCCATTAGAGTGCAACTGTACCAATCAGATATTTCGTATTTCCAGTCTTTGCATATAGGTGAATGTTTCCTTAGAGTGGCCATCAGATATCTTTGTCCATGCAGCATAAAGGTACATTTCAGGCAAAACCTTATCACTACACATAAAATATAGCCCACTCTTCTGCTTTACAGTCACACAGCCCCATTCTTGCCTGTTATTAGCGATTCAGCAAATTGTAAAATAACAGCAGTCCTGCGTTACTGCACCTTCCTCGCGGAATATGCTCCCCCTAGCACTTGCATAAATGTTATCCCAATCAATAACGTAGTAATTAAAGTCACCAGCAATTTTGGCCTTCTTACAAGTCTCCTTATCTGAAAAAAAAACATTTCTTGCTCTACTTTTTCAAACTGCCTTGGAAGCAGAACAAGGATCATTCGGCCACCCCTTTGCCCTTAACCCCTGAATTAGCTATTGCTGTAATGTCAGTGAAAATCGTTTTGTTTTTCTCTGCAGATACAGCATCATTTTCTTCCTGAGTGGTGCTTATTCCTTTTCTCATTCTTCCAGTTTATCAATAAGCCATACATTCTGATTTCGATAATACTGGTAGTAGTTTTGTCTCAAGGTTCTTTTAGTTGAGGGGGCTTGGTTTTGTTTTATTTTATTTCCAGTAATAAATAAATAAACCCAAACCAGGAAACTGAAATGCTAAGGATACCATTGATAAGCAAATGACTGAGTCTGGCAAACAATCAATTACTTACACTGCTCAGCTACCAGAACTTATCAAGGGTGAAATCCTGCCTCCATTAAAGTCGATGGGAGTTTTATCGCTGACTTCAATTGAGCTAGAATTTCACTCCAGAAATATTGTATGTGACTAAATGGGAGAAAACCTGCATGGAAGAGAGCGCAAGCTTACCTGGGAACTGCATTTCTCAGAAAACTAGAAGCAGCACTTTTAAGTATTGCAATTCAGCTTCAGAACTTTCTAGATCATTTACTTTTTTAAATGTTAGGCAGACAGAAGACAGAGTTTGGAAGTGTGATACCATTCTAGTCACATACACTAGGGAAAACTATCACTTGTGGGATTTTGAACCCGGCTTTCCCCAGCATCTGATGATGAAGGGCCACATCCTGCTCTGCACCCCAGAGGAACTCCTTTGGATCAACGGCACGTCACACACCTTCCCATCCAAGCCTTGTGTTTCTGCAGCCTTTGCTAAAAAAGTGTCTCAGTCTGGAGCTAACTTTATTGTGTTAATATTTTGTCACAGAAATCACAAAAGTCTCAAAAACATCCCCCAGTGGGAAATCAAAAACCTTTTCCCTTCTCTCTCCCGAGTAATATAAATAAATAAATCCCATTCAAGAAGTTTTTCTCATTAATACGCCAAGGTATGGGACAGTTGCAATTGGCTGACAAGCAGAGAGGCTTGTCCCTTTTTGGCTACAACCTCTGCCCAAAGGGAAAGGGCAACAAACATAAACCAACACTTTGCCATTCCAGCAGATGAACACAGTGCATGGACGTGGCCCTGCCTGTTGGCACTCGCTGTATTTTGAGAGGGGATCATTCCCAGCCAAATATGTCAAAGCAGCTGTCTAAGCCTAAGCGTGTGCACCCATGATTAAAGAGATACGACTCTGCTAATCCAGCCCTGATTTGGGAAGAGGGATTAATATTTAGACACCACCACCACCACCACAAATAAGCTTCTGGGACTGTAAAAAACAGCAGTCACTCAAAGGCGCTTAATCAGGTAGAAATGATTCATTTGAGAAAACCTGCACCATGACCTTTCCTGAGTTTCTGAGCGCCGGCAGGCTGTCAAATTTTTATGGAGAAAAGAGGTGTAATCAACTAGTGCTTGTGATGACCTTTTAATAAGTAAATGGTGGAGGCAGGCACGCATTCTGAACAGAATGAGAAATTGGATTTCTGTGTGCGCCTTGCGCTTGCTGGGGATGGTGATGAAACCCACCCCTGCGCTCTTTCTATCACCCTGCTCCAACTAATATATATATACATATATAGATATATATATGTATGCACAGCTGGAACAGTGTACGGGGGTGAAATCGGTAAAAGCTCGTACAGCCTGCAATGAGATGCTGGCCCTTCACACCCAACCGGTGCCGGTGGGAGCCACCGGGAGGCTGGTGGGCGGGATGCGACACCGGGGCTCCGGGCACACCGCACCCCGGGGCAGCGGGGAGGAGGCGGAGGAGCAGGGGATGCCGGTGCCGGGGTGGAGGCGACAGGTGGCGGCGGCGGCGGCGGTGCTGGCGGCCCCGGGCTAAAAGCAGCAACCGCGCAAAGCACGCCCCGCCGCCCCACCGGCGGGACACGGGGCGGCGGCGGAGGGGCGATGCGGCACCATAAAAGTCATGGGGCGGCGGGGCGGCGGCGGAGGGCGCCATGAAAGCCGGCGGAGGGGCGGCGGGAGAGGGGGAGCGCCGGGGGCCGTCGGGCGGTGTCGGGGAAGCGGAGGGGGGGGTGCTGCGGAGGC